TCTAATTATTCTCTAAAAAGAAATTCTCATTGTGATTTATCAAGTATTCAACTGGCAGGAGTACGAGTAGTAAAAGTGATTCTGGAGATGAAACTCGCAACCTATCTCATGCTATTGCCAAACATAATAACAAGGGCAAGGGTAAAGAAAATTCGCATATTTATCAACCAAATGGTCGGGAATTTTTAGCTCACAGCCGAAGAAAATGTCAGTTATATTAAAAGGCAAGAGCGAGAGAAAAAAAATTAAACAGAAAACAGTTGTTGATAAGCGTGAATCACCTGACAGTTCTGTTGGTTCTGTTGATTCTGAATGTGCTTCACTTTGTAGTCGTGGTGTCAAAGATCGGTCAGATGCCGAAAGTATTTCTACCACAGCTAGTCATGATAGTCATGCTGGTACACAACCAACAAATCCTGCCATTTAGAGGAAGAAGTTATTCTTAGAAGGAAGAATGATGGTGCTTCTGAAAGAAGCACTTTTTCCAAAGAAGAAGAATTGCATATTCGAAACTTGAAGAAGAAAACTAGGAAGCGCACTCGTAAATTCGAAATCGATGGCGTCATTGTCACAACAACTACCAGCAAAGTCATTTATGGAGATGAGGAAGAGAAAATTGGTAGAGTTTTGATGATCATATTTTTAGGAAACAAGAGTTACGAGAACTAAAAATGTTTACAAAACAAGAACAAAAGCAATTTCAAGATTGTCGCAGAAAGAGCATCTTAATAAAGATCAACAAGACAAACGATTTGATCAAGAACGTCTTACGCTTGAAAGAAATTATGAGTCTGATTTAGAATCATTGAGTCATCAACAAAGACAGCAGGTTGAAAAGGCTGAGTCTCAAAATGAAGCCGAAATGAAAATGGCTTCGAAAAAAAATACGCGCAGAGCAAGAACGAGAACTGAAATTATTCCGTGAAGGTTTAAAACAAGAGTTACGACTATTAAAGCAAGAAGTCGATCTCCTACCAAAGGATAAGCGTAAGGACGTTTTCAGAGTACGCAAGCAAGCTTTAGAAATAGAGCATGAGGAGAGAGAGAACGAGCTTTCTTGGGCAGATCTTCTCTTCGCCGCCTGAGTGAATCACATCACGACCGAATTGCATTAATGGATCGCCAATTCCTTCAGCAGAAACAACAAGTGATGAGAACCCGCGAAGCGTTGCTTTGGGAGCTTGAAGAAAAGCAAATTCATGAAAAACACCAACTTGCTAAACGTCAACTAAAAGACATATTTTTCCTGCAAAGACACCAGATGATAATAAGACATGAAAAAGAACTGGAACAAATCAAACGTATGAATCAAAGAAAAGAGGAAGAACTTCTCAAACGGCAATCTGGTGAAAAACGTACATTGCCAAAACGCATTCGGGCTGAAATGAAGGCTAGAGAAATGATGTTCCGTGAGTCTTTACGTATCAGCGTCATCCCTGATGCCGAACAGGAGAGGGATAAATTGAAGAAATTTCAAGAAAATGAAAAGAAACGCTATCGAGCGGAACAGCAACGTTTTGACTTGAAGCACCAGCGACAACTGGAGGAATTGAGAGCTACTAGTGACGCCACGATTCGAGAGTTGGAGCAGCTGCAAAATGAGAAAAGGAAAATGCTGCTGGAGCATGAAACTTCCAAGTTGAGAGAGAGGGATGACGCATACAGCGCGGAATTAAGAGAGTGGAAAGCAAAACTGACTCCTAGAAAACAACGATTGGAAGAAACTTTTGCTAGGCAATTGGAGGAACAAGAGCAAGAATTTGGGCCTTGCGTATCATCTGGTTCTATGCGTATACCCAGATCCCCAAGAGACAATAGAGGGGCGATGTATCTAGATCGATAACGTAATTCGGCAAAAATTTAATTTTTTTTTTTGTTAACATTTGTTACTGTATTGTATAGATGTACCATAAATATTATAATATTTTATACAAATTTACAAATTTTATAAAATATAGTTTATAGTATTGCTTGTATATAGAGTCAAATTCTGCATTCTTTAACCCATGCATTAAAGTTGAAGTAAGGTAAAAATAGTTTTAACCAGAAATAAAAATATATTTTTGACATTGTCTATGTAATTATTTAATTTTATATTCGAATTGAATTGAAATTAAAATATTATTTTTTAAAAGTGTGTACGAGATTGCATTTTTTTGTTTTGTGTAATTTAAATACTCTTTTTAAGAATAATATATTGCACGGTTGGAAAAATATTTTCACAAATAAGTATTTTAATTTAAGTATATTCTAATAAAAGTTGTAATAATAATCGATCATGAATTATTTTTCATCTTATGTAAATGCTCAGTGCATTTATTTATAACATATTTTACCAAAACTATATCTATTAGATAAAGTGTATGAATATTTATTTGACATAATAATAATTGCGAGGGTAATTACAAAAACTATTTATATATACTGCTATGTTGTAGTTGCAAATTTAGAGAATTTACAATATGTAGTATGCAATTACTTCTGTAATTAAATTTTATTGTTATACATTGTTAATTTTGTTAGATTTGTTAAAAATTGTTGCAAGTGTATTAGTAAAATATTACTAGTTTATAAAAAGGCGATTTTTACGGTATTCTTATCTGCAAATTGAATTCGTAATATATTCTTAGAACCATACAATAATTATATACAGATGTATTGCATTGCATATTAAAATTTCGTATTTCGTAGCCTTTTCTATGCTAAAATTTTGTACAAAGATGCTATATTATATATATATATATATATATATATATATATATATATTTAAATATATATATATATATATATATATATATATATATATATATATATATATATATATATGTATATGTATCCATGTATGTATGTATGTATGTATGCATAAACACAAGTATTGGTTGTTATATTACCATCTGTTAACTAAACTTAATTCGTTTTCATAAATAATAATGAAATATATAATAAATAATAATAACGAAAGATAAAAAATATAATTTTGTAACATTTATAGAATTACAATCATATTTTTACAATGTGTAGATTAGTATTAAAACATACTTTAGCTTTTACATAGTATGCTCCTTTTATGTTGACACATTTATAATATTTTATGTTAAGATAAAATACAGTATTCTTTTACTCAAAAACATTTTATTCATTATTGTGTTTTTATAGGCCTTTTAATCACGCGTAAATAAATTCTTATGGCAATAAATATTTATTGCGAAAAAAATACTCGGCACCGTACACATCTATATCTCAAAATATCGCAAAATTAATAACTTTTAGTGATGTTTTAAATTTAATTTTTATTGGGCGTATTGTTCATTTTTTTAACTTCCCGAGTAAAGATTTTGCTAGAAATCCGATTTGAAAATTTCAAGTCATTATAAAACCCTTGACCAAAAATTTGGAAAAAGTATGTGAATGTTGTAGGTGAACTAATTTTTAACTTGCCGTTGTCGTTTTCTTAAAATCAAAATCACCGTTGACGTTTTCTTAAAATCAAAATCACCATAATTTTAAGAATTCGAAAACCATTTCTTGAAATTCGATTAGGACAGACAGGGAATTGAGTATAATCAAATCCGTTTTATATAGTTTTAAAACTATAAGCAATTGCAAGTCAATCTGTCGAGACGGGTCTTTAAAATTTGTAGATAAATGCAAATTTTGTCGTCAACGTTTTCGCAAAAATGTCAATCGATTTTGAAAATTTAATCGCAGTTGGAAATTGTGCTTATTATAATAAACTATAGTTTTTGGTAATGATCGGCCTGGCCGTTTTTTGAAATTAATTGTGTTTGTGCACTATATTTTTTACAATAATAGTTAACTATTTATAATAATTATTATAAATTTGATTAAAATATATTAATTGAAAAATGCAATGAATAGTTTTTAATGAAAACAAATTTTCAAAAACTATCTACTTGATGTTATCTATTGACTTCCCGCAGAGTAGTATTATTCTGTAATCATTAAGTTATTAAAATCGTCCAAAAAACGAAATCTAACATTTTTACATTCGGCATACCTCAGGAAAAATGGATGTGTGTGTATGTATGTATGGATACAATTTTTCGTCCACGTTTTCGGGCGTACGGATCAACCGATTTGAATGGTTAAAAAAGCATTCGATTCCGATTAATAGGAAAATGTGCTGATTAGTTTTTGACAAAGGTAAATCCAGCCGTTTCGGAAATACGGACCAGAGAGTGCAAAAAATAGAAATCGCGTTTTTGAGAGAACGGCATCTGATTTGAATGATCTATAAACATTCAATTTGTATACAATTGAATTTGTATTTCAATTTATAATGATTGGGAGAACAAGTGATTAGTTTTTGGCAAAGGCAGGTCCAGCCATTTCGAAGATACGGAGCTAAATGTGCAAGAAAAGGCAGTTTTTGAGAGAACTATATGCATCCGATTTGAATTATTCAAAAAAATTTATGCTTGTTCTGACAAAATAAATGCTTTTGAAAAATATTTCAAAATTTTTTTTCCATTTTTTTTTCTCAAAAAAAAATTTTTTTTGTGTATTGAAAATAAATCAGATTATGTTCTGGCTAAGTTTTAAAACTCCCTTAAGTATACATATAAATGAATAATTTTAACTTTGTAATTACTACATTTATAATAATCTATTTGAAAACATTTAATATTACTCGAACATTTCGTTACGGTACGGGAAGTGCCAGCAATTTGCTTTAAGACCCGATGCCAACTAAGTTTTCTTACATAGATACAATCGGTCGATAAGTTCAAATAATATGTCGGCTAAAAAGTCGAGAATCAAGGTTATTTCTGAAATATTTAAAGGCTAATGATTAATTATAATACTCTTCTTTTATCTATGATTATAATAATCCTGAAACCGTTTTGATAAATAAACTACCTACTGTACCTACCCTTAGTGCACAGGTTTATTATCGGCGCTGTGAACTTGTGCAAACATGAAAAATTTTACACATAACCAACATTATAGAACTGAAATATTACGCGCCAAATCTAGAATCATTGCCGAATTAGTCAACTATAATTTTCTAGGTTGACGTTTTGTTTGATTTTAATACAAAAGTCGAACAAAATCGTATACATTCATCTCTTCGTGGAAAGTAGGTACGTTTGTGTCAGATAAAATTAATTATTTGCTAATTATATTTAATCATTTTTAATCAACGTTCATCTTTGTTGTTTTAGAATATTTTATTTCAATCTCGACGATAATGGCGAAAATTCAATTAACCGATGTTCGAGTTCTAGACAATCCAAGCGCATTCTTGAATCCATTTCAATTCGAACTTACTTTTGAATGTATAGAGGAATTGAAAGAAGGTTAGGCTTTAGGAATTGACGTAAATTGTTTACATGAGTTTTTATGATATGTCCGATTTTAGATTTGGAGTGGAAAATGATTTATGTCGGATCTGCAGAGACCGAAGAGCACGATCAGGTTTTAGATACCATTTATGTTGGACCTATTCCAGAAGGTCGACATATGTTTGTGTTTCAAGCAGATCCTCCAGATGTTACTCGCATTCCCGAAAAGGATGCTGTGGGTGTCACAGTAGTACTTCTAACCTGTAGCTATAGGAACCAAGAGTTTATTCGAGTTGGGTAAGTGAATTTTATTTTATTTTCAGTAAGCAGTCACTGCTTGCTTAATTTGAACTACACAGATTCACTAGCTACATTCTCATCTTTCATTTGATGTTAATTCATGTTTTAATAAATAGTAATCGTTCCATATGATATGGATGTTTTCAAGTTTATTTTAAATCCATATGTTAGGCTATGGTCCTGCTTTTCAATCAAATTAAAATTGAATTCCGCTTAAAGGGTGAATATACTTAAACTAAATAATTTTATAATAGTTATTTGTATTTACAGAACAATGAGTAAACAGTACTTGCAATTTGTTAGCTTGATATTTCAAATCTCACACATGTGAGTAAACTCACAAATATGTGTGAGTGCATTGTGAATTGATTTGATATGCATACAAGTTGGCAGTCTTTAATTTAATATCCAGTAGTTAGAGGATTTTTGCTCCACATATTGGAGCTATTTAGTAATATACATACATAAAATAATACATATTTCTTTTATTTAATTATTAAACAAGTTTACTTTTCAAGATAATATTATGAACTGAACATAATCTGTGATTTATTTATAGGTATTTCATAAACAATGACTATAATGAAAGTGAACAAGAACTCCGAGAGACACCACCTGCAATTCCTCAATATGATAAAATAGTACGTAATATATTAGAAACTCAACCTAGAGTAACTAGATTCCAAATTAATTGGGATGACAATTCTACAAATGGTTGTGAAAATCCTAATGCATTTCCTGAAAGTGATGTTTGTGACAATATCACTATGGATAGTTCAACTACAGATGACACCTTACAAATGAGTGCAAGCGTTGGATTTAATGAAAACTCTAACTCTATTGCAGCAATGGAGTGCTAGAATAATTATTGGATAATTAGATTTTAATTACTTTTGAACTGAATTTTATCAGGATTTTAATACAAGTGGATCTTGTGAAACATATTTATATAAGACTTAATAACAAGAACTAATTTAGATGTAAAGCCTATGTAAGTTAAAAGTTTCATAAATACATTTTTGAAAATAGTAGTTTGTGTTAAATTTAACAATACTGGCTTTGTCATATCTACTGAATACATAACAATGTCTTCAAAAATGTGTAAATGTTTTTGGATTTTATATATATGGATTATTTCATAGTATAGTAATTTAGTAAATTTCTTTCACATTGAGGTTGTGTTATTTAAGCTGGAGTTAAATCTGCTTATTTCTCATTATCAATATTTATTAATTTATTAATTTTAAAGTTTTGAAAATAGTGAATGAAATATCTAATTCAATTCAAAAAATTTAATATTTATTTAGCCATTTTAACTATGAAAACAAAACCATGCATAAATCTCATTTTTACAAATGATTGTTTTAAACTAGGTAATTTTGACTTGAGGCAAGTTACTTCAATTGAGATTTGGCAAATTGTTATAGTTTTTAACTGTTAACAATAAAAATTAATTGATTTCCAATTGATATATTTCAAACAAGCGTTTACTTTCTAAATTGTATTAATTAAATATATCACATGAAAATTTTATAATAATAAATCAAAAAAATCATTTTTATAAATAATGTGTACTTCATTTGATGTGAATATAAAATTGAACGAGTGCAATTAGCCCATTCTCCCAAACTGTAATGATTTTTACTTTTGTAGGCCAAATATTTATGGATATTCATTCCTACAATAAGCTCTCATAAATTATAAAGAAACGGCCCAGAAGATTTTCATCAAAAATTAATCAGCATAATTTACAACTAATATCTTTTGAACATTTTTTGATTTTTTAAATTCGTTTTAGGATTTATGGCAAAAACATTGATGGAAAATTTTGAAAATGTATCTGCTAATTAGAAAGAAACGGCTCAGCGGATGGTCGTGCAAAATTAATATAAAACAAGTGCGCATACATACAAACATAATTGCCCAGCTTCGGTGTCAAACGATTCAGAATGACTTGAAATTAACAGATTGGATTTTCTGGCAAAATCATCAAAATCAAATCGGATTTTTTTGGCGAAAACATATGGTATAAATATTTACAGAACCTTCAAGGTCAAAATGGCATAAAGTTTATTGCGAAAATATTTCATAAAAAAGCGGAAATCTGGTTTACCCAAATTCATTCGCTATTCATTATTACTATAGTTTTTCACCTAAATAAAACTGCGAAATTTATTGTGTATGGCATCGTGCCTTAAGGCAAATTGCTGGAACTTCTAGTACCAAAAAAAATTTTTTTAAAAAACATTAAATTTTTTTTAAACTTAAAAAAATAGATTATTGAGAAATTTTAAATTTTTGAAAAAAAAATTGACTTTCTTGAGAAAAAAAATTTGTAAAAAAACGTTTTTTTTTTAATTTGATATATTTTGGAAATTCTGAACTTTTTTTCAAAGCAGTCGCACTGGTCGCACTGCTTTAGCTGCATAGAGACGCAATATCGAAGCGCGTAAGCGCCGCGCCGCTGTCTAACGGACAAACAATGTTAGGGAACCTATAGAAATCTAAACAAAATTGATACACATTATCAAAATCTCCATAAAATATCTGATAATTTGATGTGCATATATCGAATGATCATTTTTGACCGCTAAACGGTATTTTTTTACTAGATCTCCAAAACCGCTAGACCAGCCTTCCTAACAATTTAATCAGTTCTTCACATTGTCAATACAAGTAAAATGTTTTTTGAATAATTAAAATCGGGCGCTCCGTTCTTTTAAAAACTAAGTTACCGTTTTTGGCACTGTTTGCTCCGTATCTTCGAAACGGCTAGACCTGCCTGTGCCATAAACTAATCAGCACGTCTCCTTATCAATAGGAATCGAATGTTTTGTGAAATCGATTGGACCGTGTTCCCAAAATAGTCGACGAAAATTTTTATTCGCAGACACACACACACATATACATCCATAGATAAAAGAAGAGTATTCATTTTTTCTAAGGTATGCCAAAATGCTCAGAAACCTCTGAAACGCAAAGATATATAAAAATTTTCATTTTCGATTTTTTTGCGATTACACTCTGTTTACTTATCTATGATTACACTCTGAAACGCAAAGATATATAAAAATTTTCATTTTCGATTTTTTTGCGATTACACTCTGTTTACTTATCTATGATTACACATGGATTACACTTTTACCCTACGGGAAGTTAATAAATAATATAATCATAGATAATATAATATTATAGCGTAGAGATGTAGGAATAATATGAAATCCACACATCCATACATCCATATCATAAATAAAGTCCATGCTCAGTGGGTTTATTTCTGTTATATTTTTTTTTATTTATCTAGTTCTGTCATATGTTAAAACGTGAAATAACATAACCTGCAAATGAAGATAAAAAGACTGAAAATAATTATCATTTGAAGATGTTTTTAAGAAAATCACTATTTCGTTTTGAATCATTTGGATGGAGGTATTTTAGTATGGTATCAGATGAGTCCCTGGCCATAAATCAGTTTAATTCACAAAATGTAAAATTTTTTATGAATAAACTAGGTTAGTACGTTATTACTTTCTTTCATTTTAAATATTCAGTCTGTTTTTAGATAGATATATCTAAAACTATAGTTTTAAGTAAGCTGTTATATAACATATTTTTCTTAATATTTATTTTTCTTTAATATTGATTATATATGTTGATGTTCATTTATCTTATATGTGAAGTTTTTTGAACTTTTGTATTTATTCATATAATCTTTGGTATTATCTATAAAACTGAATCCTCATATTATTTTATTTTGCTTCTTACATATCTTGATATTCGTATACCTATATTTTCAAGCTGTTCTTTATTTTAGTGTTTTATGAGTGAATTTTTTTGCCCACGACTTTCAGCATTTATATATTTCAGGTATAGTCTTAAGTTATATCCACCAAATTGAAACCATATATTATTTTATATTGCATCTTACATATCTTTTGGTATTTATTTATCTATTTTCAAGCCATCACCTGGATTTCCAAAAAGCATTCGTTAATTTTCTCTAATTTAGCATTTGAAAACTTGAGTTTAACATTTAAAATAAAGTGTATAATTATTTACCATGTTATCATTGTTTCAACAGAATTATAAATGTTGATACTTTGTTTTGTGGGAAAGTATGTATTATTAAATATAATCTTATATATTATGATAATCTATTGTCTTTATGGATTCATTATTAATGCTAACTCGAATTGCCATAATTTTATTGAGTTGCATTCTTAAAACTGTTTAAAATACTGGAAGTTGTACAAATTGAAATTTGGACAATCTTTTTTAGTACTTTGATTTCAATAATACTTCACATATTAGTAAGTTTATATTTATTAGTCAGTTTGTGTTAAATGCATTTAGATTATTACTTGAATATAATTTTTGATTAATTTAATTTATTCTCTTTTAGGACTAACAAAGCAACAAACATATAAAATGTTTGCACAGTATCCTAACTTACATACAAGAGATTTAAATCGTTTGGCTAATGCTCATAAGATGCTTCTTCGGTTTGGTTTTTCTATTCAAGATTTAAAAAATGATCCAAATGTGTTAACAATTCTTCCTGGCACAATTGAACAGCATTATATAATATTGCAAGAATCAGGTTTCAATAATATAACAACCACACATTTGAGGAGGTCATATATTGATCTACATATAGTTTAAAATAATTTTCATTAGATGGAATTAAATTATTTGAAGTAATTTTTACCTATTTTTAGTTTTCTAAGCTTAGGACGTAGGCCAATTAGTCTTTTGAAAGCTTATCGATTTATTGATGATGATTTGGTTGTTCATGAACATCTCTTAAAATCTTTAGACTCAGAATTTAAATTTACAACAAATGAAAATATTGATGATAGTTATTGTTTAAGTAAGTATGGTTGCATAATTATTGCTACCTATTATTTTAAATTTTTACATCACAATTACATTTACTTTTAACAGATACTATTAGACAAATTATTCTTCACGAATACCTGAAATGGTATCTACAGATCAGTGATGCTGAAACTAATTATTTATTTAAAACATACTCACGAATCAAAAACAAAAGTTTTCAAATTATGAGAAAATCATTAAAACAATTGGATGAAATTGGTCTAACAAAAGAGAAAATTAAAAGGAATGGTTTTTTACTACATAGTCATCCGGAAAATATAGAAAAAATGTTGAGTGATGTGCGAGAATTAGCAGGATTGGATATTAGAGAAGTTATTAAAAAATTGCCTAAAATAGCATTGACGAATTATGAGACACTACTGAAAACTGATAAACATTTAAAGGTAATTATTAAATGCTTGCTCATGTTGTGATATTTTAACACATTATAATTAGTACTAATTTTGTATTAAATTAATTGAAATATTTTCTCCTGACATGAATGTTTGGATTATGTACCTATGTGATGTAAAAAGATATTGCATTATTATTATTATTTTATTGTTTATTGTTTGACTTTGTATACACGTACATTAGTCATATACATTTTATAAGATATTCCATTATTAATTAAAATTTAAAATATTTCTAATAGTTTATTTTAGTAGTGCAGTTCACTTATATTATGTAGATGCAATATGTTTTAAATTCATAACTTAGAAAAATGTTGGAATGTTTTGTTTATGATAAAATAATTTTGTAACTTCAATATCTTTTTCCTGAACAGTTTACAAAATGTCTTCCACAATATAAAGTTAATAATTAATGAGATATTTTTTCAAAAATATTTTAATTAAGACAGCCATTTTATTGTTCTAAATATATTCCAAATAATTATTTTTTTCAGGATTTTAATATATCCAATGAAGCCATTAGAAAGTGCTGGGATATATATACTTTGGGCTCTGATACAGTTCATGAACGACTTCAAGATCTTGTTTCAATACCAGAGTTTAAAGTATTAGCATCACATCCCAGAATTGTACGTTTAATTCATTATCAGAAGAAAGCATTATCTAGATTGAGTTATTTGCAAGAGATGAAAGTCAAATGTGCAAGTCTGCATGTGCTGTCTTCTACACGGAATGAATTTGAGAAGTATGAGCAGATAATTTTAAATAAATTTAAATTATATATATATATATATATATATATATCTTATATATAAAAATGGAGCTCTCTTTAAATGTCTTAGTGAAACTCAAAAACGGCTAAACCGATTTGGCCAGTCTTAGTCTTGATAAATTTGTGCCAATCCAGAGATGATCGGAAAGATGAGATATTATTTCAAAATCGAGTAAAAACTTTACATTTTTAATTTGAAAATTTTTGTAGAAGCGTAATTTAAATAAAACAAAGGACGGTGGCTAATACGTCAAATGTCAAACGTTTTTGTCAGATGATGTTCAATTACGTTTAATATGATGTTTTACGTGAATATTATTTAATTATGATTAAATTGTAGTAAGTAGTTTTGTTTGTAGTTTTATTTATATACAAAAACGTTCTGACGTAAACAAATTGACGGATTAAAACATATTTCAAAAATATAAAGCGTTGTAATACAGTTATGAAATTATAGTATTTTAATTCCTGATATGTGTACTGAATTATAAAAATATAAAATCAAATATGTTTTTAATAGAAGAAAACTAAAAATTTGCAATGCACACTTACATACTCTATTTTTATTAGTTTCGAATCGACGGTTGTATATAAGAGAAGTACTTTTGAAAAATGTTTTTAAAAAAATATACAATATTATACTAGAGCTATAAAATTTTAGTGTGTTATTATCTAATATATGTACTCAATTATAAGAATATAAAATCACATATGTTTCTAACAAAAAAAGTTATAAATGTGCAATTTTGTAAACAAATGCACTCTTGCATATATCCTATATATAAAAATGGAGCTCTCTTTCGAATGTCTTAGTAAAACTCGAAAACGGCTAAACCGATTTGGCCAGTCTTAGTCTTGATAAATTTGTGCCAATCCAGAGATGGTCGGAAAGGTGAGATATTATTTCAAATCCACGTAGAAACTTTACATTTTTAATTTGAAATTTTTTGTAGAAGTGTAATTTGAATGAAACAATGGACGGTGGTTAATATGTGAAATGTCAAACGGTTTTGACTGATGATGTTCAATTATGTTTAATAGGATATTTTTTGTGAATATTATTTAAGTGTGATTGAATTGTAGTAAGAAGTTTTGTTTGTAGCTTTATTTATACACAAAAACGTTATTAAACGGGCTGCAAGTGATGCTAGACTAGAAATTCAAAATATCAACTTTTTTGAGATGTTAATATGAAAATGCACTTTTTGGCATATTTTTCTCAAACACGGTGCTCTGAAAGATTTTATTTGTATATACTCATTGGTATATATAACATTTTCTAGATTAGGGATCGTTCAAGTATTACGTAAGCAGATTTATTACAATTCTTTATCTCCCCCCCTCCCCTTTGTCAGCAAAAGTAAGCAAATCTCTTACCAAAAATAAGCAAAATAAGCAAATCAATAACCCCCCCGCCCCCCTATAGTGCTTACGTAATACTTGAACGGCCCCTTATATTATTTTTTATTTATGTTATTTAAATTCAGAATCTAAATTTGGTATCGATCAAAGGGACATTTGGTCGAATAACATTTTCCCAGTTATAATTTCCCAGAATTTATCGATGAATAGATAGTAATATATGAAGGTTTGGGGTTAAAAAAGTCCACCACCGATGTGTCAGATACCAGTAAAATTAAGCATTATTTTACAACAATATTTGAAAGTAGAGGAAAAAAGATGTATAACCAGCTATAACCTTGATTCTTATGACTATTGGGAGATAAACAGTAATCTTTGAAAATCTATAATAAAAGTATTGTCTTGTTTTTTAGCATTAGTTAAAAGTGTAATTATTTTGTAAAATTAAAATAAGACATTGAACCTGTTTGCCACCTTAGTTAGTTACCCCGCCTATAGGGTGAAAAGGTCTAAATAACAAATTTTTTAAAGACATCAAGTCATTTCTACAAATGATGAAGTAGCTGGCAGTTTTACTGAACGTAGTCAGATAATTGTTCGTTTTAAATGTGTTATTTGCTGTAATATAATTGTTATGGTTTTCACAATATAGTTTATATTTGCTCAAAGTCAAATTGGACCTTTGTGCCTCGCCCTGCTCTACATATATACTTTTTATTAAATTTACTTCAATTCATCGAATATTACTTTAAACTTTTCAAAAAGCAGGTCAAAGAAGAAATACTTAATTCATTTTCTATCTCTCCTCGCAAAAATTTGAAAATTTTGTATAAGCTCAGTAGTATTATTTACAATTAAACACAAAATCCAGAATCTAAAAAGAATCCGAAAAACTTGAAACGTAATCAATAAGTCGAAAGATCAAAAAGGACTTGGTTTGAATATACCATGTTTTCTATAGAAAATGTATAAAACTTCCAGTTTGATTGTATTGACAAAATATAGACAAACTAATAGGGTTTATAATACCTCATTGTATATAGCATTCAAACAACACATCCTTATACGCTTAAAGTATTAATATTTTTGATTCTCTAGAAATTGTTTAGAATATACTTTTGATAAAAGTGCATTATTTTGCATATATTGCGTCTAGCATAGTATATAGTTTATAGGCCAGGCAATTGTTTTAAAATAATATGCTTTCAATCCAAATCTTTGACTCAGACAATCAGTTTTACCCTTAGTTTATTGAATAAGAAGCATGTTATACCATATGTATATCTATCAAGTTCAGTGGTACTGAGATTCGGGCAACATCTATTTTTCATACTACTCTATGGTAAGGATTGATCACCTTTAAGATTGTTTATAGTTTTTAGACCGTTCTTTCACTTTTTTTAATAATTTTTAATTAAAAATAAAAATAAAAATAAATACAAAGTGAGGTATTGGTGTATATACATTCTAACAAAAATTGCAGCCTGTAATTATTATCACAATCATTATTTGTAAAATAACTTTAAAATTGAAATATATTTATTTATATATTTTAACTCCGAAATATGTCATCATTCAACAACTTAAACTATATTCAGTTGAGGAACACATTTTGCATTTTTATTAAAATGTAATATAAAATTGATAATATTTCAGATATGCCCGAGAAGGCGCTGATAGAACAAAGGGAAAAGATCTAATAGCATATCTTATGAGTGAATTACAATTAACTAATGCAGAAATACGTGAAAAATTGAATAGGCATAACTATTGGTGCCATGTTCCAGTTGTATCAGCAGAAGCAACTCTAAATATGTTAAAGCAAAAATCTTTTTTGAATACACATCTGATAAATAATATTCACATACTTTTATATCCAAAGTGAGTAATTTTCTTCTTCAAAATTATTGCTGGCATGATACATATGTTATTTTAATAATTTTATGCAAAATTTTTATATAATATAGTTGCATACCATTTTGATTTTACATATCATTCAATGTTATTATTAGTATGCTGCTTTAAATATAACTAAATTAAGTTTTATTTTACTTTGAGTATATTATAAGTGTTTACTTTTTAAATTTAGTTTATAATTTCAATATTAACCTCATTTTTTATTTTTAGAGCTGAGGTTGAAAGAATTTTAGAAGAATTATCATCAAGTAGAACACATAGTGATTTGCCTACAATAACAGATTTAACTCAAATTGATAGTAACAAGATATTGGCCTTATGTATGTATATATTGGAGAAAAAACATCATTTTACTGGAAATGGTATTTGGGATGATCAAGCACAAGTAAGTAATTTTTTCAATCTTACATCAATAGTTATGATTGTGCACATATTCAGTTATTCAAACACTCTAACTTTAGTTAAACCTTTAAATGGAATCTTTGAAATCCATAAAAATGGTTTCAACTATATTTCCTCAAATGACTGTTTAAGACTAATGAAAATGCACTTTAATTTCTTTTACATTATTTAATTACTTGTTTTTGGTTATACTATAACATTTCGAAAACATAATGCTAAATAAAAGGGATTTTTTTACATTTAGCTTATGTATATATTTATATTTATATATATATATATATATATAACCAGATTTTATTTTTGTGAAATTAATTTAAAAGATACACCATTGACTAGATCCATTATTTATGACTTTCCAATGCACTCCTTGAATATTTGCCATATTTGACTAAACAAGCAAAATTTACTTTAAAATAATTAAGAAAGAGCTTTATTTCACCCGGTTATAGATATTTATCTTAATTAAAAGTTCACATGTATGAAATACAGGTTTAAACATTCTGAAGAATTTCAAACGCTTATAATATGATCAGCCTAATTGATTGGCTGTTTTTACTGTGATATATTATTCTGATATTATCATTTGTTTTGCTTAAATTTTGTTATTTAGGTTTTTTGCAGCACACAAATTTATATATGGAATACTCGTCAATTATAATAATGTTACTAGAAATGAAAATTTATAAAACAAAATTAGCATTTCTCTAATGTTTTAAATATTTCGAAATATCTAAACATACGGTCTGCCTGTGGTTTGCTTCATTAGTGAATTAGTCATAATAATAATGATCGTGAACCATATTTCTATGCCAAAAGAATTAATTCATTAGTGCAGCATGTGCACCTAAAAAAGAAATTCTATTTTTCAAATAATTTGTTACATAAATATTAATAATTTTTGTTTGACTTGTTGATGTTATAAAATAATATAGGTACTTAAGTTTTTGATTTATATACAAGGTGTTTTTGAACTCAATGTCAAGCCAAAACAGGGTGACTGTATTGAATGTAACTATCGTAAAAACAATTTAAAAAAAAAATTCCATGCAATTTGCAAGTTATGAGCTTTTAATGTACAACTTAGAGCTCTGGTTAAACTTTGAGCATTTTTAGTTATTATGGTTATTTTTTTTATTAATTCTGTTCAATTAAACTTTGGAACCGTAATAGTTAATAACATTTCTAGGACCACAGTCAAAAAAAACGATACAGTACCCTAAAATTCCTAGAACTAAAACTATTCGTTAAACAATGAATTTAAAATTTTCAAAATCGATACACTTTAAAAGGCC